TATTTGTATGTACCATTTGGGTTGATCTATAAACACTGTCAAAAGCTTCAGTTTTTAAAATTTACTTATTTCTGGGTATTTATTTCAACACTTACTGATTTACAGCATTGGCAAGTGCTATGTGATTTTTAAATCTCAACTGTTTATTCATACTATCATTGAATACATGTTGATCACATCCACATTGTATGGAATGTGGTAATTGACATGTAATCAGGACATGATCTCATATTGTTATTCTTCCCTTTATTGGAAAAACCTGTTTTATTTTTCTCTAAAAATAAATCACCTATTTGGATCTGTGTTTTTTCATTGCAGTATGTTTAAAATAGAGTTCTTTTAAAAGATTAATGTAGTTTCTTATTTTAACATTTTTTAAAAATGCAATCGAATTCTAGATTCAGTGTAGCTTTCAATTTTATTATTTGCTAAGTGTTGGAGCATGTTTTACTTTGAAGTAATGTTTGTGCAGGAAAATAAGGATTAATACTATATATGTAAAAGAATATGGATCTCAAAAAAGGATCCTTAACTCCTGGATTGAGTCATATAAATATAGGTTATTTTGACAAAACAGTGCCTCAGCTGCTAAGTCATATTTCTCCATTTTAGTAAGAGATAAAAACTATAGTACTTTACAGAAATGCCTCATTTGTGACAGACCTTGTTTTTATAGCATTTTAAGCTTAAAAAGAATCAGATTTGTTAGGCTTTGGCCAGTAGGAATCTCAGAAGAGCAAGTAACCGCTTAGAAATGAATTAATAATTAAATGGGTTTTTCCTTTATTTTTCAGTTAAGTGACTTTTTAAAAGGAACATATGGAGATGATTAGCTCACAGCTTGATTTAAAACTTTGCTTAGTTAACATATAGCTAAGTGTTGCTTAATAATTCAGAGAGTAAGGAGTACAGAGTTTTCATTCACTATGAAAACTACAAAGTTAATAGGTGTACTTTTCCACATATATGCCCCATATCATAAGTGCTCAATAAATTTTCTTCTATGTAAGCAGCACCCATCTCAAGACAACATTACTGGCACTTCTCCCCTCACTATCCCTCCTGAGGGTAGCCATTATCCTGATTTCCTGCTGCGATGAATATGGTTTGTTTGTTTTGATGCTTTATGCTATATGAAACCATATATAGTATGTTCATTTTTATGTCTGACTTTTCACTCAGCAGTGTGAGAGAGATCAGTCCTATTGTGTATAATAATAAATCTGTTTGCCTACTTTTTTTCCTTCTCGGTCGTTCTGAATTGGGACAGTTTTGCCCCACAGCGAATTTAGCAATGTCTGGCCATACTTCCCGCACAGCATGGGACTGAGGAAAAAAGGGTGGTGCTTTAGGCATCCAGAAGGTAGAGGCCAGGGGTGCTGTTAAACATCCTACAATGCAAAGGACAGCTCCCACCAAAAAATTATTTGGTCCATGGTCTTGCAGTACTCTCATTGTTTCTACCGTTCGTGTTGCTTATTCAGGCATTTGATACCTTGCCCTACTGTTTGAGCCTTGTTCCCTTGAAATTTCAATGTTGGCTTTAACAATTCTGAAGTGCCACCTACTGGTTGAAAAGGATACTTAGTCCCAAAAATGGCTATAGTTATGTGTTATTGTATGGGAGCTAGGGTACATGGTGGCAAGGCTTCCTTTTTTCATTAACAGAATCAGAAGCAACATGAGAAGCAGTAATTGCCAATTAAAATATTTTCTATGAAATGTTACGGCAAGATTCAGGTTCAGAAAATACGATCCAAGGGACTCTTACTGATAATAGTGGAAAGTAGTTGATTATGTACTATAGTAAGAAAATATAGGTATCACTTTTCTCATACTTACTCAGGACTCCATAAAGAAATCCTACATAAAATTATCCATCTTAAACATAAATTTTCTACCTTTTTAAAATAAGGTTGAGCCATTGAAATTAATTTTGACCTATCACTAAGAAATAGGTTTTGTTGTGAAATTTGTATTTTGACAAGAGCTTAGGAATTACTTTATGGACATTAACTGTGAAAGAGACCATTCAGATCATCTGACATACATCCCTCATTTTATAGTACACAAAATGGGAAACAGAGGTGCATGCTTTGGTTACAGAGCTAGTGTTAAGACCCAGCACTGGAATTTGGTTTGATTCCAGTGTGTGTGGAATCAAATCTGTATCTTCATATGTATATATGTATGTATACATAGATATATAAAAATACATATATGTCTATATACATATATGTATACATGTACATATATGTGTGTGTGTGTATACACACACATATGTTTCTCTTTGACTCCTTGTATCAATGTCAAAAAGTTTGTGATTAAAAATATCAAAAAGTTGCAGAATTTAAACGGAAAGAACTTTCAGGTTGACTACTATTCCTGCCACATTTCATAGATTAAAGAAATTTCGACTTTCATTTCTTGAACTCTGCATGTTTTGAATTTCATTGAAAATGTACTGAAGCCTATCTTAAAAATTCAATTATAGATACTACACTTCAAACAGCAGTTCTCTGGCTTCAAGTATAAAATTTTTTTAGACTTCTGTCAGTTGTAACATCAGTATGATCCTTACATTTAAACAGAATTGTGCTTTTGGTTCCAATTCTTTTTTTTCTTTTTTTTTTTTTAAGATTTTATCTATTCATTTGTCAGAGAGAGAGAGCACAAGCAGACAAAATGGCAGGCAGAGGCAGAAAGAGAAGCAGGCTCCCCACTGAGCAAGGAGCCCGATGCAGGACTCAACCCCAGGACCCCGGAATCATGACCTGAGCCAAAGGCAGCAGCTTAACCAACTGTCCAGGTGTCCCTGTATTTCCTCTTCTTAAACTGGTTCTCAATGTCGCTCCAAAGCAAGATTTATCTACTTCTACATTGTGGACATTTTGAGGCTGGTAATTGTTGGGGAAGCTCTCCTGTGCATTGAATGTTTAGCAGCATTCTTGGCCTCTGCGCTCTAGATGCCAATAGCAACCCGTGGTCATGGCAAAAATATCTAAAGATATTGCTAGATTGGGGGTGGGGGGTGGGGGGTGGGCACTGAATGTTTATCTGGAAAAAAAAAAAGTGTCCTAAATTTATTTCAATAAGCCTGTCCCCAGTTGAGTACTACTGAATGCACATTCTACTTCAGTGGTCCTCAGTTCTGTTTGTACATTTGAATTACCTGGGAAGATATTTAAACATGCTGTGGATTTGGCACCCACAGATTGATTTTATTAGTCCAGTGAGGCCTGGGCATCAGTATTTTTTAAAGTTTCCCAGGTGCTTCAGGTGTGCAGTCAGCATTAAAACTATTAGTTTTATTAGTATTTGAAACTAATAAAGAGACATCTAAGGAAATAAGAGCAGGATATAATAGTGGATTTAATGTATTAAGGAGGTGCAGGAAACAAAGATGAAGGCTACATTGAGAGTGACCTAATCACTTAGTAGAGATGGCAGAGAGGAAGACATCTCCCACATTTACAACTAGGTATCATTCACATCTGAGTAAATAAACTAGAGCAATCTGAAGACTGACAGAACAAATTCCACAATAAAATGTAGAGAAGCCACATCTGAGAGGTTAGGGAAAGCAGAAACGGAGGTCAGAAACTGCCTAGACGGAGCTGCAGGCACAGACAGGAGAAAGCATCAGGGAGCCCACATGGGGAAGAGGAATCCCCATAATGACTGGTTTTGAAAACCAGAGGGGCTTAATTCCATGTGTGTATAACCAACAGGAGTTGGAGCTTTAAAAATCAGTTCACTTAGAGCTGGACCAGCAAAGGCAAATGATAGCTGAGTCCCCACACTTAAGAACAGCATCTTGCAGAGGGGCACCACAGAAGTGACAGTTTGTACAATGCCTGGGACAAATAAGGAGATCTTTTTCTACAGAATTTGGAACGTGTTGGGGAACTTACCCAGGAACAAAGAGGCTGGCAGGTGCCATTTTCCTCATCTGCCTCCCAGGCATAAGTAGAAAGCCACTCCGGCTGTGGCAGCCCTGCACAGATACTTGCTACCTAACCTGCTGACCATGTGCCCCACCCATGAGTTCTCCAGAAGACTTATCCCCGACATCAAGCCTGCTGACCTCAGCACTGGGCTCAGCACAAATTTTGTTAACCCCACACACACCCTGCCCAGCATCAATGCATGCACAAACACTGGGTACACCCAACCACCACACAGCCACCACACATCATGTCCCTGGTGGCCACCATGCTTTGTGGAATTCTGCCCAGGACTAGCAGCTCAGCACAAATTTAGATAACACTGCTACCCTGTCCTCAAGCCCTCTTGTGGCTATTTCCCTCAGAGCCAGCCTGCCTGGGTCTCCTACCACAAAGAGCAAGGACAGCCCACAACAGGCAGAGAGGGCATACATCTGGACTGAAAGAAAAATGATCCAGACACAATAGCAGGATGCAAGCAGCACATAGGACACTTTCCTGGATTGCCAGGTTATGGTGAACAGGGGACTGCACTGCAGGGCACTATAGGAACTATCCTCCATAAAGCCCCTACTTTCTTTTTTTTAAAGATTTTACTTAATTATTTGACAGATCACAAGTAGGCAGAGAGGGAAGCAGGCTCCCTGCCAAGCAGAGACCCCAATGTGGGGCTCAATCCCAGGACCCTGAGATCATGACCTGAGCGGAAGGCAGCTTAACCCACTGAGCCACCCAGGTGCCCCATAAAGCGCATACTTTCAAGAGCATAAAATGTAACTGACCTTCCTAACAGAGAAATAGGTAGAGAAAATGAGACAGAATATGTCCCAAATGAAAGTATAGGACAAAATCATAGCAGTTCTCTCTCTTTTTTTTTTTTTTTTAAAGACTTTATTTATTTGACAGAGTCCACAAGTAGGCAGAAGGGCAGGCAGAGAGAGAGGAAGGGAAGCAGGCTCGCCGCTGAGCAGAGAGCCCGATGTGGGGCTCGATCCCAGGACCCCGGGACCATGACCTGAGCTGAAGACAGAGGCTTTAACCCACTGAGCCACCCTAAGCAAAATTGAAATAAGTAATGTCGCGGTCGGTGCGACAAATCTACCAGGAATGTGAGGATAAGAGGATGATTAAGAAAACCTAAGACACAAAGAGATGGGGGCAGGAGGAGTGCTGAGGAGGATATCCAACAGTGCTGAGTTTATTCAAAGTCTTATAGCCATATATATAGTAATATTACACTAGGAGAAGCACTACATCCGTGTCTAGCTAAATAACCACAAGTTCCCATAATAAGTTTCACTATTAACTAGAAACAGACCTCGTGACGCCAAGCGGCTGATGTTAGTACAATTGTTCTGTATTGATACAAGAAGTAACAGCAAACACGAGAGTAATTTATGAGCTATACTAGGACAACAAAGATCCTCTAAGAATTTATAACTCCAACCGCATTGTTCTCATCTGTTTAGTGAACGTGTGGGAAGTCACGTAGGTGAGTGCACAACACAGAGCACAGACCTTTTCTCAGTGCTACTCAACTTTTCCCGTCCATAACCTTCTGTTAGGTTATTTGGACCTTAAAGGAGGCACAAGTCAGGGCCTGGTTTGGTCCTTGTCTCAAGCCTTATTGTGGCCTCCCACAAAGTAGTATGCCTGATAAGAGAATTTAAAGTAATGATCATAAAGATACTAGACTTCAGAAAAGGGTGAAGGAAATGCATGAGACCCTTGACAAGTCAAAAAACATCATAGAGAACTCAGTACATGAATAAATAGCTACAGGAAGCCAAGGAAAATATGTGACCTGGAGGATACAGTAATGGAAAACATTAAAGCTGAACAGGTGAGAGACGAATACCACATGAGAACAGGCTTAGGAGAACTCAGTGACACCATCAACCCTAAGGATATATGCAATATAGGACTATCACAGAAAAAAAGAGGGGAGCAGAAAATGTCTTTGAAGAAATTAAACCAGAAAACTTCCCAAATCTGGGGAGGGAAACAGAAATCCAGATTCATGAGGCAGAGAGATTTCCCTAACAAATTCAACCCAAGGAGCTGCACACCAAGACACGTAATTAAAATGGCAAAAAAAAAAAAAAAAAAAAAAAAAAATAGCTTCCAAGTGTTTGTATTCCTCCCAAAGTTTTTCTTGTGTTTCAGTTCCAGATTCAAAGCACTGTGGTCTGAGAATATGCAGGGAATAATCTCAGTCTTTTGGTATTGGTTGAGCCCTGATTTGTGACCTGGTATGTGGTCCATTCTGGAGAAGGTTCTATGTGTGCTCAAGAAGAATGAGTATTCTGTTGTTTTAGGGTGGAATGTTCTGTATCTGTAGACCATCCTGCTCAAGAATGTTTGGATCAACCAGGAAATCAAAGAAGAACTTAAAAGAATTCATGGAAACCAATGAGCATGAAGACACATCAGTCGAAAACCTATGGGATACAGCAAAGGCAGTCCTAAGGGAGAAATAAATACACAGCCATCCAAGTCTCACTCAAAAAAATTAAAGAATCCTGAAAATACCAGCTCTCTTTACACCTTAAAGAACTGTAAAATCAACAATAAATTAGGCTAACCCCAAGCACAAGAAGGGAAATAATCAAGATTAGAGCAGAGATCAATGAGATAGAAACTAGAAATACAGTAGAACACATCAACAAAACCAGAAGCTGATTCTTTGAAAGGATCAATAAGATCAATAAAACACTGGCCAAACTAATCCAAAGGAAAAGACAGAGGACCCAAATTAATAAAATTATGAATGAAAAGGGAGAGATCACGACTAACATTGAGGAAATAGAAACAATCATCAGAAATTATTATCAACAGTTACATGCCAATAAGTTAAGCAACCTAGAAGAAATGGATGCATTCCTGGAAACCTATAAACTTCCAAGACTGAAGCAGGAAGAAATTGACAACCTGAACAGACCAGTGTCTAGTAACGAGATTGAAGCAGTCCTCAGAAACCTCCCAAAAAACGAGACAAGGACCTGATGGGATTCCCTGGGGAATTCTACCAAACATTCAAAGAAGAAATAACACCTATTCTCCTGAAGCGGTTTCAAAAAATAGAAACAGAAGGAAAACTAACAGACTCTTTCTAGGAAGCCAGCATTACCTTGATCCCCAAACCAGGCAAAGACCCCATCAAAAAGGAGAATTTCAGACCAATATCCCTGATGAGTATGGATGCCAAGATTCTCAACAAGATCCTAGTTAATAGGATCCAACAGTAGGTAAAAAGATTATCCACCAGGACCGGGTGGGATTTATCCCTGGAATGTAGGGGTGGTTCAACATTTACTAATCGACCAATGTGAGAGAACAAATCAATAAGAGAAGAGAGAAGAACCACATGGTCCCCTTAACTGATGCAGAAAAAGCATTTGACAAGACAAAGCATCCTTTCCTGATTAAAACTCTTCAAAGTATAGGGACAGAGGGAACATTGCTCAACTTCATAAAATCTATCTATGAAGAACCCACAGCAAATATCATTCTCCATGGGGAAAAGCTGACAGCCTTCCCATGGAGATCAGGAACATGACAAGGATGCCTACTCTCACCACTTTTGTTCAACACGGTACTGGAGGTCCTGGCAACAGTGATCAGACAACAAAAAGAAGTAAAATTTATTCAAACTGGCAAAGAAGAAGTCAAACTCTCTCTCGTTGCAGATGACATGATACTTTATATGGAAAACCCAAAAGTCTCCACCCCTAAACGACTAGAACTCATACAGCAATTCAGTAATGTGACAGAATACAAAATGAATGTACATAAATCAGTTGCTCTCTTATACACTAACAATGAAAATACAGAAAGGGAAATTAGAAAATCAATTCCATTTACTATAGCACCAAGAACCATAAGATACCTGGGAATAAACCTAAGCAAAGAGGTAAAGATCCGTACTCGATGAACTACAGAACACTCATGAAAGAAATGGAAGAAGACACAAAAACATGGAAAAGCATTCCATGTTCATGGATCAGAAGAACAAACATTGTCAAAATGTCAATACTGCTTAGAGCAATCAATACTTTCAATGCCATGGCAATCAAAATTCCACCAGCATTTTTCAAAGAGCTGGAACAAACAATCCTAAAATTTGTACAGAACCAGAAGAGATCCCGAATTGCTAAGGGAATGTTGAAAAAGAGAAACAAAGCTGGGGGCATCACGTTGCCTGATTTCAAGTTATATTACAAAGTTGTGACCACTAAGACAGCATGGTACTGGCAGAAAAACAGACACACAGGTCAGTGGAACAGAACAGAGAGCCCAGGTGTGGATCCTCAACCCTATGGTCAAATAATCTTTGACAAAACAGGAAAAAATATCCAGTGGAAAAAAGACAGTCTCTTCAATAAATGGTGCTGGGAAAATTGGACCACTATGTATAGAAGAATGAAGCTCGACCATTCTCTTACACCATACACAAAGATAAACTCAAAATGGATAAAAGACCTCAATGTGAGGCAGAAATTTATTAAAATCCTAGAGGAGAACATAGGCAGTAACTTCTTTGACATTGGCAACAGCAACTTCTTTCAAGACATGTCTCCAAAGGCAAAGCAAAAAAACAAACAAACGAAAATGAACTTTTGGGACTTCATCAACATCAAAATCTTCTGCACAGCAAAGGAAACAGCAAAACAATGAGGCAACCCACAGAATGGGAGACGATATTCGCAAATGACACTATAGACAAAGGGCTGATATCCAAGATCTATTAAAAACTCCTCAAAACATAGTCATGTCAAAAAATAGGCAGATGACATGAACAGACACTTCTCCAAAGAAGACATACAAATGGCTAACAGACCCGTGAAAAAATGTTCATCGTCATTACCCATCAAGGAAATTGAAATCAGAGCCACATTGAGATACCACCTTACACCAGATAGAATGCCAAAATTAACAAGATAAGAAGCAGCAAGAGTTGGAGAGGACATGGAGAAAGGGGTACCCTCTTACACTGTTGGTGGGGATGCAAGTTGGTGCAACCACTTTGGAAAACAGGGTGGAGATTCCTTAAGAAATTAAAAATAGAGCTACCCTGTGACCCTGCAATTGCACTACTGGGTATTTACCCCAAAGATACAGATGTAGTGAAAAGAAGGGCCATCTGTACCCCAATGTTCATAGCAGCAATGGCCACAGTTGCCAACGTATGGAAAGAGGCAAGATGCCCTTCAAGAGATGAATAGATAAAGAAGATATGGTCCATATATACAATGGAGTATTATGCCTCCATCAGAAAGGATGAATACCCAACTTTTGTATCAGCATGGATGGGTCTGGAGGAGATTATGCTGAGTGAAAGAAGTCAAGCAGAGAAACTTAATTATCAAATGGTTTCACTTCCTTATGGAGCATAAGGAATAGCATGTAGGGCATTAGGAGAAGGAAAGGAAAAGTGAATTGGGGGAAATCAGTAAGGGAGATGAACCATGAGAGACTGTGGACTCTGAGAAACAAACAGGGTTTCAGAAGGGAGGGAGGTAGGGGGATGGGTGAGCCTGGTGGTGGGTATTAAGGAAGACACATATTGCACGGAACACTGGGTGTGGTGCATAAACAATGAATCTTGGTACACTGAGAAAATTTAAAAAAAAAAAAAAGGAAAAAATAATGATAATGTGAAAAGTTGCAGGAGTTGAGAAGACAGTTACATACAAAGGAAATCCCTTGAGGCTATCAGCTGATTTTCATTAGAAGTTTTATGGTTCAGAAGGGAATGGCATGATATATCCAAAGCGCTTAAAGGGAAAACCTACAGCCAGAATACTCTAACCAGCAAGGCCATCATTCAGAATAGGAGAGAGTTTCCCAAAAAAAAGTTAAATAAATTGACAACCACTAAACCAGCCCTATAAGAAAGGCATCTATGAGTGGGAAACAAAAGCCATAAGTAAGAGTAAGAAAAATAGAAGATTTCCTTCTTTTCTGACTGAATAATATTCCATATATACACACCACCTTGTCTTTATCCATACATCTGCCAATAAACACCTAGGTTTTCATGTCTTGGCTATTGTATGTTGTATGAAAGTGTTGACTCACTATAATGTACACCTGAAACTAATATCACACTGTATGTTAACTGGAATTTAAATAAAAACTTTAAAAAGTGACCAAGAAAAAAAAAAAAAATCAATGGAGTAAAAAAGGCAACCTATAGAATGGGAAAAAACATTTGCAAACTACATATCTGATAAGGGGTTAATACCCAAAATACATAATAAATTCATGCAACTCAATGACAAAAACAAATAAAAAACAAAAAACTCAGATACTCTAATTTAGAAATAGACATAGGCCTCGATAGTCATTTTTCTAAATAAGGTATTCAAATAGCCATCAAGTGTGAAAAGGTTCTCACTATCACTAATCATCAGGGAAATGCAAATCAAAATCAGAATAAGATAACACCTCACACAAATTAGGATAGCTATTATCAAAAAGACAAAAAATAACAAGTGCTGGCAAGGATCTGAAGAAAAAGGAATCCCTGTACACTTTGATTGGAAATGTAAATTTGTCCAGCCATGATAGAAAAGAGTATAGTGTGTTTTGAAATATTAAAATCGAGTTATCATATGATCTAGCAATCCTATTTCTGGCTATATATCCAAAGGAAATTAAATCACTATCTCCAAGAGATATGTGCACCTCCATTCTCATTGCAGCGTTATTTACAATATCCAAACAACAGTGACTTGTAATGTGGATTACAGAGGAAATTTAATAGAATAGCAAACTGAAGGTTTTTTTTTTTTTATGTACAAATACTTACTAGAGTTGAAAAGGGTACAAAATTTGATGACCTTGAATAACCAGCACTTTCAGAATTGACTAATGCTTCCATGAATTACCATTTTTTTCCAGGTTTTTGCCTTGAAAGATCATGGTTCCTGTAGTTTATTAATTGCTCTTTTTTTCCTTCTCCTATTTTTCTTCAAAAACTAAGTTACATCCTTAACATTAGACACAACAATATTTTGAAAAAGAATTTGATTCTCCAGATTTCTATTTGATTGCAGAAGGACAAGAAATCCATTTGT